TCAGACGATCTGCTGACTTTCAGCGCTCAGTAGCGCCTCTCTAATTGCCGCAACCGCTTTTTGCATTTTCGCTCCCACCGGGAGGGAGAGCGATGCGTCAGGCCATACCAAGTGGAGAGCGACAGAGCAATTGAGGGTGTCGTGCCCACAGGCTCGAAAAATGTGCTTCAACTTAAGATCCGTGCTAACTGTTGTGGCCAACTCCATGGAAACGTTTGCCAGCCACCAAGAAAATAAGATTCTTAGCCCAAAGGATCTTGCAGACCACATAAGAAGCAAACAGTGAGCATCCTGGAAAGCTATTGAAAGCAATGGTCGGCTCCTTTTGGTATACATTGTTGAAAACCCAGCACCATGAATCAACTACTCAATCGTTTTAAACGCCTACCTCCGCCTTACTCTTCACATGGTAAAAACGGCGACAAGATTGGGATGAAACTTATGTATCCCATCAGATGTCAGGAGCAAGAGAGCAGTGATGGTACTGTGATGGGTAATGCCATTATCAATCATTCTTTATCATGTAATTTTTGGCAAGTATTCTTCATAACTGATCTATCCCGCAAGGATAATTACATCATTCACAATTATGCGCTTAAAGGGATACTTCAACGAAATTTGAAATATTTCCGTCGTGTTCAAAAATAGGTTGAATATGATCCACAATATCCGTAAACGACAATTGCACGTTTGTATTTTGATCCTGGTGGCTGTATTTTTCGTTATAATTGGCCCACTCTGGCAAGCGCTCGGAGAAGGCCCAGCTTAGAGCACGTGACATCCAACGCAATCGTGACATAGGTCGTCTCAAGACGAGCAAAGCTACGGCGAGGCTGACATCGAGAGGATAGCCTAGTCGTTCCAGCCACCGAAGCGGCTGCTTTCGTACGAATTTTGAGTGACGGGTTAATCTTCTATAATCTTCTAGGGGGACAATAGCGACTTCTGCGACACACAAAAGGGATTCTTGGGAAGAGGGGAGTTCCTCCTTCCCCCCTTCTCTCGTCGTGGCCGGAGACGAGACAACCTCCGTCACTAGCTGTCAAGGTTCCTAGACGAGCATTACAAACGAGGCGTTAGCGACATCCACCAGGTGCTCTTTGCTAATCGTTTAATTCGTTTTAAAATTCCTTTTCGAGACTTTTTAAGAAGACATTGGTATGTTCCATGTGATACTGCTCTTTTGAACATATATAGACCAAAAAATGAGCGCCGAAATTTCGTTGTAGTATCCCTTTAAAAGTACTCTATCTAGCTCGAGACCTCAATACACACCCACCCTGTTCTTCCATTTTACATAAATGGTTTTATGCAAAGATAATTCGCTAGTCTAAGAAATTCTGCTTCCTAACCCAAATGTTGTGCATAGTAGCATTTAAGTAAATGAACACGCTAGCATCAATAACTTGTTGCCCCGACGATAAACCCCCACGCGTTGCCTTCTCTTCCACGCCCCCGATGGCCTCGTCTTTCAGCCATGCGGAAAGAGCGCCGAGGCCTTCCCAATCTAGGAGGTGTTACCCCAACCCCCTTTCCCTGCATTTTTTCTTGTGCACCTCGGCAGATAGGGTGCATTCGGAAAATGTGAAGGGGTCTTTGTTTGAAAAGAGCCTGTCCTTAGTGAAATGAAATACAACCCTTGTCAGAAGCTGGTCACTGTTTTTCTCCCCGTGTTGTCTCCGATCTTGGCGGGATCTGGTTTGGATTCGCAGTGCTGCTGCACTGGACTTCATCTGTTCTGAAGTCACAAGACAATTCCCAGGCGAAAATCAGTCCACTACCAGTTGGATTATGAAACTGGAAATGAGGCAGTCCAGCTAGATTCCAGCTGGGTCCAGCTGGAATCCAGCGGGACTGCCTTATTTCTAGTTCCATAATCCAGCTGTAAGTGAACTGATTTTCGCCTGAAAAGGTATGTCGAAGTGTCTCTGTTCACGGTGTATTCATTACCTGCGGCTCCAGAAACTGTTTCTAGTTTGAGCGCGTTCTCGAGCTTGCAAAGCACGCACCATGCTCTATTCTTCTCGGCGCCATGGTTGCTGATTTTGTTATGCAGCACAGAGACCTGATATTCAACCGTATTGAGCAAAACGCCAATTCTACCGATGGCTTGCTTTTTGTGTTTGGCAGACCCTGGCAGGGGCCGCTTGACCATAAAGGTCTGTTCACATATGCTGTGGAGCACTACAAGCATAGCGCTGACCTCGCGCTAAGTGCGTGCTGACGGGAGCGTTCACCAGCTTTGTATCGCACCATCAAAACTGTTGCTCATGGCAGACAATAAGGAGCCGACACGTGAACAGCACTGCATCAGCGCTTCGCTGAATGTGAGAACCGGCCGTAATGAAGACATTTATTTAACCGTACACTAGATTTTCGCGTTGCTAGCGGGAGCTTGTGTCGTCCCTTTGAAGCATAGAATGAGCACGCGCACGCTGGGTCTGTAATTCACAGTGAACGGTCTACTAAAAATCTAATATTGCGCTGGTCTGCTGTCAACAGATTGCATGTTACCGTATTTACTCGCAGAATGAACGCACTTTCTTTTCCGAAAAATCGATGCAAAGTTAGGGGGGGCGTTCATTACGCGAAGTAAAATTTTTGCGTCCGTATTTACTCGCATAATGAACGGACCTTTCATCCTGAAAGATCGAAGTAACTTCTTATCTCTTTGCGCGCGGCGCCCGATCCCGTAACCAAACTAAGCTGTGCAAAAAAAAAAAAAACTCCTCTTCGTTTTTTTTCTTAGTTCCTTGTTTCTTTTTTTTTGCCGCCTTTCGCAAGTTGTTTTGTCTGCTTAGGCGAGGGCTCTCCGCTTATCTTTCTTATTTCCTTGCGCGCGGCGCGCGACGCACGACACCCATAACCGAACTGCACTGTGCAAAAGAAAAAAAGCTCTTTTTCTTTTGTTTTCAGTTCGACACCCATAACCGAACTGCGCTGTGCAAAAGAAAAAAAAAGAAGCTCTTTTTCTTTTGTTTTTAGTTCCCTAACTTTTTTTTTTTTTTTTTTTTACTTGCAGCTTTTTGCATGCGCTGTTTCGTTTGCTTAGAGGGCTTCTCTGCTCCTCTTTCTTACCTCCTTGCGCGCGGCGCACGACCCCCCGTAACCAAACTGCGCTGTGCAAAAAAAAACAAGAAAAAAAAACCTTTTTGTTTTCTTTTAGTTGTGTTTTTTTTTTCTTTTTGCCGCCTTTCGCGAGTTGTTTCGTTCGCTTAGAGCGCTTCTCCGCTTCTCTTTCTTACCTCCTTGTGCGCGGCGGCCCGCGAACCCGAAGTCCAAACTGCACTGTGCAAAAAAAAAAGAAAAAAAAAAGGTCTTTTTTATGTTTTGTTTCTTGCTTCCGTTAGATCTTTGCGATTTTTTTTAACGCCTTTGGCAAGGCGCTTTGTTCGCCCAGGCTGCCCATGCATTCGCGACCTCGCTGCACCAGGATAGAAAAGTGTGTTCATTTTGCGCTCGTAGGGGGAGGGGGTCAAAATTTTGACGTTCGAGTTGGGGGTGCGTCTATTACGCGAGTGAAAAAAAAGTCGAAATTTTGAGAGCCGACTTGGGGGGTGCGTTCATTACGCGAGTGCGTTCATTGTGCGAGTAAATACGTATATGTGAACCACTGTAGCACTTACACAGCCCTTTGTCTCATTTTATAATGCATGAGTTATATGTTTGTCGAGCGATCGGGTATTTCACGCTGCCACTGTCACTAATAATCCGAATTCCTCGCGGACAGGCAAGAGGCTGCCAGTGCCCCAGTTAACGGTGCTTGGACCACGACCGGTTTGGACAGACATCCCGGTGTTCAAGCCATCGTCGACGGAAGTGCACTTTTCATGATTTGACCATATCGTAGATTCTACCGCTCAGGAACTTCGACTTCAGTCATCTTTGAATGTGATGTGTATCTGCGACGCAATAAAGCTATGTTCAACCTGAACTGCGCAATGTAGTTTCTGAGATTGAAGTACACTAGGCAAACAGCAGACTTGTGCAAGGCTTGTTTCTTCAGTTCTGCAAAACTTTTGAGTCGAAGGGGACTAACAGCAAGGGTTCAAAATTTTGTGTCTCAAGACCAAACGCAAAGGATTAACTTTCAGTCCCGGGCGTCTAAATGCAAGGGTGCAATGTTTAGACCCAGGGGTCCAAGTGCAAGGGCCTAACAGCCGGTCCTCAGGGTTCAATTGAAACAGTGTAATAGCTGGTCCCAGGAGCCTTAGTGCAAAGGCTTAGCAGTTGGTCCTCGGGGTGCAACTGGAACAGTGTAACAGTTAGTCCCAACGGTACTAGTGCAAGGGACTAACGGACGGGGCGCAACAGTTGCTCTCGTTACCTTGCTCCTGGGACTGTCACAGACTTCAACTATTTTTTTTTTTCTTTGGGACTTCTCGGGGGAAGCGCATCTGGTTGTCGGTTGCCCCTTGCCCGGTGCGTTGAGCGGAAGGGCTCGGGACTCGCTTGCTTTCTGTTTTATGACCCCCTGGCCCCTCTCGTCCCGTAAACGTTTCTCGCGAGATTGTCGAGATTCTTAATTGGTACCGAGGGGCCGACTTGCTTCCCGGAATGTCGGGAATAGCTTGCAGATGTCCGAGTGGGGTTGCATTCTAGGGTTAGCTGGAGTAGGCTCACTGCGGGGCTTGCCAGTGTGATGTGTTTTTATATATATATATTGTTGTTCGGCTGCAGAGTGGCGATTCTGTTGATTTTTTTTTTTCACGTGGTACAAAATGTCACATGATCATCTATGCAACGTCGAGTGGGATAGGGGCGGACGTGTGCCAGGCGCAAGTGTCGTCTGCACCGCACTCTTCACCACGTTTTGGTCTCTACGACATTCGACGACGACTGCACAATTGCGGCGTTAGTCTGCGCACGTGGTGTCGGTATTATGGGCGAAACTCCGAGACAATAATCACAAACGGTGAGACGACGACGGCAGTTATGAAGCGGGAGACTGTAGGACGATGGCGGATGGCCGTGGTCCCACCAAACCGTTGTTTGGGAGCTGTTGCTTTTGCCATTTCTTTAATAGTTGTGTCCACCGAATGCTTCTGGCAGCATGAGTTTTCTCGCTAGAGACTTTCATGGTGTAGTGCCTGCAACTGACGTGGGGATCTATCTGTTCATGCTGTGCGAAAAGAACAAGAAAGAAGGCCGTGTCACAATTAAATCATTGTTGTGCTGGTTATGAGACAATGTTGTCCTTGTTCCCTTATATCAAGGTTTTTTGTACTACACTCTAAAAAAGCCCATGCGTCTACTTTCCTGCACAAGACTCAGAGCCAATCACCACAGCTTAAAGGCGGGCGCTCAAAATTTTCTTCAGCGTGGCAGAAGATTCCCCCTCTTTTCTTTTTTTCCTCCTCCCCTTTCCTCCTCCATTTTCCTCCTCGCTTTTTACGGCCTTCTCGCACGAGTGCTAATGGGCTTACCGGCCCCCCGACAAAATCTCTGTCACCCTTCAAGGTTCTCTGCTTCAATCCCAAACACCAGGGATTAGTTGGGCAGGCTGATTATGAGCTCGGAAGGGTTCGGGCTGGCTCGCTTTTCTTCTTTTTTTTTTTTCTCTCTTTTTCTGCAGTTCTAAAAAACACTCAGATAGTCAACACCAACTAGCCCAACAACAAGTTCTTTTACATTCAGATACTTTCGCATGCGGCCACGCACGCTACAACACCGCATATTTATCTCGAGTGAACAGAAATTGAACATCACAGCAGAAGGAAAAAAGATGGGTATTTTTATCCGAACTTTGAGCTCTACTTAGAGAGTTGAAAATTTGTCGTTCTAACAACGGCACACTGAAGAGTGATTTTATCACTATTGTGTTTTTGTATTGTTTTTTTTTTTGTTTTTTGTACAAACTAATAATCATGAGTAATTACAAGTCAAAGGTATTGCAGTCAGAGGGACACAGTCTGACCATTTCTGGGGCATAGTATATAGGTTCGTACTACAGGTGTTTTCTAGAGTGACGGCCGCCTCGTTGAAGCTACCAAGAAGAGTAAAAACAAACTTACATAAAAACTGAAACGGCTTATGGTATATTTCATATATCTTCAGCCTTTGAAAAAAAATTTCTTCGTGGCCAAACGTGCATTTAGTTTCTGTCAACAAATGTAACAGAAAAGTTGACACCCGACAAATATCTTGCGTATCAGCAAAGAGAACGGGAAACACGGAGATTGAACCGAGAAATCACAATTTTCTTCGAGTAGAATGGTGCAACTAGCAATAGTAGCATATTATGCCATTTATTAAAAGACAGCAGGTATTACGAAGTTTTCATTCTTTTCTTTTCGCATTTGTTCGCTGATGAAGAAATGGAATGCCCAGATAGCCTTTGCAGCCCTTACATAATTGTTTTGGGCTTTGTCAGGGTGGGTGAAGGCCATCTCAAAAAAAAACCCAGGGGTTCGGAAGGTGTGCTACCGCAAGTTTTGGGGCTGCTTGGCTAATTTAGGCGTCTGGCGTTTACCGCCTACTTAGAAAAGAAGCGGAACAGCGGTCAGCTCAACGTCGTCACCAAGCGGGAACTCATGCCGAAATGTGTCCTTGAACACGTGCGAGATCTTTACCCAAACCCAGCCGGGATTCGCCACAATTCATCTACGAAAAAAAAAAAAAACTATAAAAAGGGGTAGGCTTAAACGATTTGGCAGTTTTTGAATATAGTCATGCGGACTAACTGTCCACAAGTACGGAAAGAAATGCGATAGAAATGCAGAGCTCTATTGTGTTTTTTATGTCTATACTTGTCTTCCGCGCTGTACGCCAATTAAAATGAATTCTGCAATATCTGTAGATTATGCCTGTTTATGTTGTCTTTAAAAGAAAAGTAATCAAGCAAGTTCGGTATCGTGCCACCAATTTGTGCATATACAATTTTACGTGGAATTCAAAGTCAAAACAGTACTTCCGTGGGAAATAATGCATCCGCCGTTCTTCGTCTTCCTGAAGCTATGAACTACCGATCTCGGCTACAGGACTTTTGGGTCCACAAAATATCACGCTCAGTAGAAAATTCGCCTTTTCTACCAAAAGTACTGGAAATTATTTATTTTTCAAACAGGTCCGGTGGTGATGCGTGTTTGAGTGTAGGACCGTTGACTGCGCACTGGTTTGCGCCAAGAGTGCAGTGCTTCCTTTCATGCTGCCCGCGACGAGTGTTGAAATTTGAATATAGTAGAAATAAAATCAACTGACACCCTTAGCATTATTTTAAACTTGCGCTTTCTTCAGGCATTAAGATTTTGATCGTACCTTTTATTCATTGTTGTCTTCGATGAGGGAACAACTTGCCGAGGAGGCCGCGCTATCCGCGTACGCGGCTTGACAGATAAGGTCGCGAATGCTTTTCATGAATCTTTAAAGACCAAGCATAAAAATGAAAGACGCAGCCACTTTACGCCAATGAACCAACTTTATGTTTTGGGTAGACGCCTTGCGAGAGTTGCAGTATTTTAATTATGCCTAATAAATTAAATGTTTAGGACTAAGTACCAAACTTTTTTAGATGTATTAAGAACCAAAATGTCAATTGGAAAGTTCTAGAGCTGCTTGAGAAACACCCGATTAGTTGTTTGCGACGTGATACGGCTCGCGTGGCTTCGTTCTGACTAGTAATAAAGCTTATGAAACATAAGAAAATACCCCGTGATAAAGCGCCCGCCCCATCATAAACTCAATATCGAATGTCCCGGGATTTGTTTTCATAGGCCGGGGAAAAAAGAAAGAGATGCATGCAAGACGCGTGTCCCACGCTTTATTTATATCAGAAAAGAACTGCCCTCTGTTTTATATACAACGTTTATTGCTGTTTTTTTTTTTCACCTGCTAGATATTAGAAAAAAAAACGTGGAAATTAACGTTTTGTGGATGTCAGCTATACGGCCAGGCGAAGATTGGGTTCAAGAAAGAACACAACAAAAACCGACTGATTACCTAACATTTGTTAATGAGCTTTTTGATTATAAAAGAAAAGGGGATAGTTGATTTATAAAGTTGTTGGGCGTAATCGAAAGCCACCAAATTGTCCAGTGAAAATTAGCGCCATTGCGGTTTGTGTAGGTGAGCCATACGGCTAGCTGAGGATTAGGTTCAATAACAAACGCAACTAAAACCGACCGATTGCCTAAAATTCGCTAATTAACCTTTTAATTAAAAAAGAAAACGGCATCTTGTATTCAGAAAGTTGTTGGCCATAATCACAAGCCACCAAACCGTCCATTCTTAAAAAAGATGTAACGCGCGTACACTATTATACGGCGTCCTCCTAATTTGGGCGCGAAAATATAGTTCTGATTTTATGTGGGCTCCATCTCCGCGTGGCACAGCCTAACGAAAGCGACAAATCATGCGCATCGTTGTGACAACGCCACTGTAGAAGGGGCGAGGAGTGCGGTGGCCGAAAAGATTGCGGTAACACGATTCGCGTCGAAATTAGGCTTTTTAGGACGCCGTGAGCTACTTCACGTCCACTACATCTCTTTAAAAATGAACGATTTGGTGTTTTTGATGACTACAGATAGGGCACAAACCGCAACTGCGTAACTCTGACGTCTTTTTTAGAAAAATGTCTAGTCGTTAAAAAAAAATCGCCCTATATAAGCACGATTGTGAGGCAGTTCTTTACGTCCGGCGACATCATTGCGGCATGGAAGGAGACGTTGACCACAGATCATACTCTGTGTATGATCTGTGGTCACTGTTTTTTTTTTCGTACGAGAATGAGCAAACATTTGATACCAAATAAAATAGATTTAGCATTCACCAAATTTGGCTTGTTTACTTTATTCAAATCGATATTTGATTTGATTACACTTATTTTGTACCAGCACACGCCTACTTTATTCCCTAATGAGTTACAAGTGATAATTACATTGTTTTTTTTTGTTTTTTGTTTTTTTTTTTGTCGTGCGAGGTAATCACAATTTATTATTAACATTCGGAGCTCTGCGATTACGCGGAGGAGGCGCATTTGAAGATATTCAAAATTGTTCTGAATGCACTAACAACTTCAAACGTCTTGCTGTTTGGGTCGTTTCCTACACGCAGGACCAATAATAAAGCCAAAACCTTATAGAGGAGACTATCTCTATCTACTCAACGCACAAACACGATGTGAACCTGCGTACGTTGGAAAAGAGATACCGGCGAGCAAACCATAGCGTCGAATGTTCATGCATCAAAATGTCCGTGCACGGAAATATCCGCACACCGAAAAGTCCCACACCGAAAAGTCTTTGCAGCAAAAAGTCCGTACACTTAAATGTCTGTGCACCAAAAAGTCCGCACCGAAATGCCCTACAGCAAAACGCTCTACACAGAAAAGTGCTATACCCACTACGGATGGGATCCCCCGCCACCTCTGCCGGTTTACGAACCATGATGATTCAGAACCACTGGCCTATGGAGCGCCATCCCTGATACAGAAAACGCCGCTCGTACTTCCCGTTGTCGCCATGAATCCGCCTATAAACGAAAGATGCAAAATCAGATATTTATATTAAAATTGATACTTCAATGACTACTTTTTTGAGCAGAACAAGGCATTTCTGCTCTCACAACAGCAAGAATCGTCCTCCAAACCAATGCTAAAAAAGAGCCAATGCAACTCGTTGGGAAGAGCAAGTGCCAAGCTCGCTCAAAACAGCTCCTCGGTTGGTTCAGCTCCTTGTCGCAGGTGTGCCGGCTGGCTTTTGGATAATCTTTTCAAATCCTTGAAGCTTTCATTTCCTCCACTTCAAACTTGTAAAAAAAAAAACAAAAAAAAACAAAAAAAAAAACAGGCAGCTGACAAAAAAAAAAATCGGAAAATGGCGAGGAGGAAACGAGAGGAAATTTCCTCCTTTCACAGTGGCGAGAAGGAAAGTGAGGGTCGGGTTCCTTCTCTCTGCTTGCAGGCCGGCCTTTAAGGAGGCGGCTCAGCGAATGACGATACCAAAACGCATGTTTAGACCAAAAAACGCTGTCCAAGTTGTGACATTAGGCAATGCAAAATGTCAGGCTTGCATTGCCTAATGTCACAACTCGGACTGCGTTTTTTGGTCTAAACGTGTTTCGGCATCGTCATTCGCTGAGCTGCTTCCCTAAGTTGCGGTGATTGGATCTCAGAGTGTTGTGCGGGAAAGCAGACGCACGGGCTTTTTCTAAAGTGTATGATTGGTCACCAGCTTGCCTGCGTCTCCACTAATTTCTTTGTTATTGGCATCATTATCAACGTTCGTGAAACACAGATGCATGGCGAGTGGCTCCGTAGATGACAGAACTCAATAGGTTTCACCGAGGACATATATGGCCCTCAAAAGCCCGTGCTTATCATGCACTAAACTGACTCATATTGAATAGTTTATGAAAACACTGTGAGCTAATGAAGGAATCCTACCACTTCCTCTTCCAGATACCAGTCTTCCACGGCCTACATCCGCTCCCATATTAACGGATCTCCTGAGGACAACAGACAAGGATGATTTCAACAGCTTCGTTGATGACCTCAGAAAAATATTCACAGATGATATAATTGATAGGGTAGAGAAGAATACTCGAGCGCAGTCATTCTCTCGCGACTGGTACTTGCACAGGAGAGCCAGAGTGACAAGCACAGTGTGCCACTCCTTTAAAACAAGAGCTAAGGACATAGACGAAGAGCCAGGCCGCATGGCATGAGAGGCCTTCTTAGTGGTATTTCGTGCATGAGCACCGTTCAGACCCCAGCCATGAAAGAAGGGAAGAAAAAGGGAACCAAAGGCCATTGCCCTCTACATGTCGCTCTTGACAGCTGATGGACACTGCCCTGTGCTTGAGAATAGGGGAGTTGTCATTTGGAAGGATTTTCCAGTGATGGGGTGCTCACCAGATGGTGTTATGAGTTTCGACTGGGAGTGTTGTACGGAAAAACTAGTTCTGCTCGAGGTTAAGTGTCCGACCAACCTAAAAAACTCATTTTCTGGGTGTCGACCGAAACCACTGTATATGATGCAGGTCCAGGTAGCAATGGGTATTTTAAACATTTCATCATGCGACTTTTTTTGTTTACAGATCATTAACCGAGTGGAGACAAGTGACTGTTGAGTTCGATCCAAAGTACTTCAACACATGCGTCCGCTCTGTACACAAATTGTACTCGGAATACCTTTCTTTCCCTTCGAAGCGACTTGCAATCTATGGGCCGACCTTTCACTGCTTAAGCATACTGATGTCGAGCATTACCTAGATTTATGACTTTTTATCGATATGTTGCTGTTGAATCTTCTTTATTTGCTTTCGGGGTCTACTGCTTATCGAGGTGTCGTCCTGTGGCAAGGAGGGGTGTAGTGTGTGTATTGATGTCGCTGACCTGCAATAAGGCAGAGCTAGCCTCCTCTTTAGGCAGGCCTTGGTGGGCTAGGTGAACGCCGAGTGAGAAACGGTCACTGGCCCTCTTTAGTCCAAAGCGTCATGTCATCAGCATAGATGGTTAAACTTAGGACTTCTCTTCATCTGAGTATTGCAGGTAGCCTGGCCTTAACCATGTTGAACAAGGCGGGGGTATGGCTGCCCATGTGGTACGCCTAGACCATTTGCTGTGCCTGGACCCAACGTCGGTCCCACCCTTACTATGAACCTGTTTTTTTAGACAAATTGTTCCCGTGAAATTTTTTGTAAGCCTTGTCAGCTGTGGCACCCATCCAGGGACATGTCTGCCATTAGGAATGTTTAGGCTACGTCACCTTTCAACCTGTTCTTTCTCCCTTGCACTTCCTTCATCTGCATTTTAGTGCAGTCAGCATGCGAAATCTGACAGATGAAATGTGCTCATCCTTATAAATGCAAATAAAAATATACCTGATTTGCATTTGTATATAGTATTCCTCTAGACTCATCTGGTTTTATTTAACAATAAAAAAGCAATACATAGTTTTAACAATGCTAGAAATAAACACTGTCTGCCAATTTTCTTAAATAAGGCACAATTGTAAGTGAGCCAACCTAGCTTTCAAAGCAGCTTTGTGTTGTGGGCGGCGCTAGTGTCAAGTTTGGACACTTTCAGTAATTGGGTTGCGAACACTGCGCCCACGTCTTCTGTAAAAAGCCATTGCCTCGTAAGGTAAACATGCTTTTCCGTTCCCGGCTCTCGACTGTCTGTATGCTCAGTTGCTTGCTTGCCGTCGCTGGTGGGCCGTGCAGTCTGACCGCCGGCCACAGCCCGGCACGACATGGTGTCAGAAGCAGACCACTAGGCCTACGTACCTTCAGTCCTCATGGCAGCGCATTAGGCCTATGTACCTCCGTCATGGTGAACTCGCAAGAAGCTCCAACGTGGGCGGGCGTCTCCCTACGTCAGCCCGCTGCTTTCAACTTCGACAACACCGGTTCTTGGCCTGCGTGGCTTACGCAATTCGAGGACTACGCTTATGCCTTTGGACTTTGCCAAGCACCACCGGACGTTCAGGTGCGGACACTTCTCTACTGTATGGGCCCCGAAGCTCGGGTCCTTCTCGACACGTTCGGCTTGAACGCCACCTACCTGAACGACTATGACACGGTGGTCAAGCGCTTCTTGGAACACTTTGTGCACCCCCTCAACGAGGTGTACGAGTCTTCGAGGTTCCACAAGCGGGTTCAGCAGCCGGGAGAGAGCGTCGACAGTTACTACGCCGAGCTCTGCAAGCTTGTCAAATGGTGCAACTACCCGTCCCCCGATGTCGAAGAACGCCTGGTTCGCGACCGGTTCGTTGTCGGTCTTTGCGACGGACGCCCATCGGACCAACTCTGTCGGAACGCGAAGCTCAGCCTCAAGGACGCATGGACACAGGCGAGGCAGGCCGAAGACGCCGAAAAAGAAAAGACTGCTCGTGGGAGTGAGTCAGGCCAGCTCACCGTCAACGTCGACACTACGAAGTCTCATCGGGGTCCGACGCACCAACGCAAGACAATGAAACGGTCAGACGACACGTCAGCCGTGCCTTCACGTGGCGATATCGACTCGGGTTCCTGCAGCTACTGCGGTTGAGGCCCCCATGCACGCTCCGACTGTCCTGCTCGGCAGTCTCTGTGCAACTACTGCAAAAAGAAGGGCCACTTCGCGGACGTCTGTTGCGCTCGCAAACGAAAGCAGAGCAAGGTGGCAGCCTTACAGCTCCATGCAATCCTCGAGACTGAGAAGGCCAAGGCCAAGTACGTCGAGGTCACTGTCGACAACTACTTGGCGAGATTCAAGGTAGACTCTGGCACGGAGGTGTCTGCTGTTTCGGAAGCCTTCCCAAACTTACCTCGTCATCTGGACAAGGTCGACGACCTGCTGACGGGACCGGGAGACCAATCACCAAAAAGTCGTTGGGTCCTTCATGGCTACCCTCCTGTGGCGAGGCAAGACCTGTCATTAGCGTCTGTACGTGATCAAGCCCCTCTCCGTGCCCCTGCTGGGGTTCCCAGCCATCCAGGCTCTGGGTGTGGTCAAGTTTTTGGACGACATGAAAGTGCAGGTGCCGCAGGGACTTTTCAGAGGCCTCGGCACGCTCAAGGAGGAGTACAAGATCCGTTTACGCCCAGATGCGGTTCCGTTTTCCCTTAGTGTTCCACGCCGCATACCGACATGGTGAACCACTTGGCCCGCTTCCTTGCACACGTGGCCCAAGTGACAGCGCCGATCAGGGCTCTGCTTAGCAAGAACACAGAGTGGACCTGGTCGTACGAACAGGAAGTCGCCTTCGATGCTCTCAAGAAGCTGCTGACGTCCGACCGTTGTATGGCGAAATACCACCCAACCTACCCAACTACGGTCTCAGCAGATGCAAGCTCCTTCGGCCTAGGCGCGGTGCTGCTGCAGACCCAACCAACAGGAGAGAGACGACTTGTCGCCTTTGCGTCAAGATCCCTGACAACAACTGAGCAGCGCTACAGCCAGACGGAGAAGGAGGCTTTGGCGGTCACCTGGGCTGTACAGAGGTTCCACGAGTATGTGCGTGGCATCTCCTTCAATGTCGAGACGGATCATCTGCCATTGGTCTCCCTTTTCGGAAAGATGGAGCTCGACATCTTGCCACCGCGGATTCAACGGTTGCGGCTGAAGCTCATGCGGTATCAATTCCGAATGCTGCATGTTCCTGGAAAACTACTAGCCACAACCGACACACTGTCTCGAATCCCTTGCAAGGCCCTCGTCGCACCAGGAGAGCTGGATGCCATCGAGCTTTTCGCAGCTGAAACAGTGGACGGCTCCTCTGAGGTGCTTCCAGTTCCCATAGAAGATCTCAAGATGGCTCAAGCATCCGACGGTGAATGCAGTACGCTAATCTCATTCTGTCAGGGCGGTTGGCCGTCCAAGGGAAAGCTACCTTTGCACGTTGCAAAGTATGCACCCGTATTGGAAGAAGTTTCAGTCTGTAATGGTCTTCTGCTGAAGGGAACTCGTATAGCCATCCGATTACGACGCCTTAGCAAGGCTTCGTAATCCAATTATGACTCGACCAAGCGCACCCCAACCAAGCAAGATGGCAGCGCCCTGAAGCCGGATTTGCAAACGTGTATAGGATTTAAATGTAAAGCATGAGTTGTAAAAGCTGCAATCCGTGTGAATAGTGCTACACCACCTTGGACCTCCAGGCATACCTCAGCAAACCTCACTCATGAGGGCCTTCACTCTCCCTCACTTATTCTCAACTTCACAGGTGAGGTGAGGGTGAGTGAGTTTCTGAACCAGGAAAATTGATGAGTGTTAGGGTGAGTGAGGGCCATGAGGACTGTGAGGGCGGTGAGTGTCGTTAAAGCCATGAGTGCGTAAGGGGCGTGAGGGCTATGAGGGCGGTAAGTGCGTGAGGGGTGTGAGGGCCGGCCATGAGTGCATGAAGGCAGTGAGTGAATGAGTGGCATGAGGACCATGAGTGCCTGAGGGCGGTGAGTGTTTGAGGGGCGCGAGGCAACCTTCAGACGGAGCAACTTGTTGTTGCCTAGCTTTCCCTAGATCGACACGAATTGCTGAGATCGGGTCCGGCTCGAAAAAAGCGAGCAACTCAGAGCAATTTGAAGACGTTTGAAGCGGCTGCATCCTATCAGGGACGCAATATTGTCACGTGACACTGCGTGCCGGTGATGATGTCAACAAAAGACTTGGTTCTGGTTCGAAATTGATCGTTTTTGGAACTAAACTGTTACAGAAAGATGTATTAGTATTCTCAACGAGATTTAAATGCATAAAAACATGTTTATAGCATGCAATTGTGTCTAAATAGTGCAAGAAAAATAAAATTTCATGGTGATGATGGCGAATTGCACCAATTGGTTGCTGCGTGTAAACGCAGGCGGCCGGTGTTGCTGGTGTTGTGACGTCAAGTTTCTGGGTGAAATTGCCCCGTCTGAAGCAGGCCGCTTCAGACCGGGCAATTTCCCATAAGGGCGTGAGGGCCGTGAGGGCGGTAAGGGGAGTGAGGGCCATGAGGGCGTGAGGGGAATGAGGGCGGTGAGCGGTGTGAGGGCGGTGAGTGCGTGGGGGGGTATGAGTGTGCGAGGGCGATGAGTGGGGTGAGGGGTATAAATGCGTGAGGGCGGTGAGGGGCATAAGGTGAATGAGTGTGTGAGGGTGGTGAGTGCGTGAGGACGGTGAGTGCGTGGGGGGTATGAGGCCGGTGAGTGGCGTGAGGGGTATGAGTGCGTGAGGGCGGTGAGGGCCGTGAGGGTGACTGTGAGGATGAGGGTGAGTGAGGGGCTGAAGGTGAGTGTAGCTGTGAGGGTGAGGGTAACCTCAAATGCCGACCTCTGCCTCCAGGTGGGTAGCAAAGTATGAAGACACCATTGCTGTAGTGGGTGGGTTAGTTTAGTGTTGCACAAAGTTATATGAGCATGTTTGCATGCAATGCAGTGTCAGTGAGGTGATTGCATTCTTCGAGTCAATTTAAAGCACATTCTGAAGCAATAAAAACTTTCTGAAAAACAAACATTTCACTTTCATTTATTTCAATGAGAATCAAATACATCATGTGTTGATATTGTACACTTCTTTGCCTTCCCACTTGTGTGCAGCTACTTCTAGTATGCAGTGCAAAGGACAATTAAACTACAAAGGTCAATTAATTATGGTCATCAATGACATTTTACATGTCGAATTTGATGGGTACGTAAAATCAGCATGTGTTCGGCTAATATGCCTTAAAAAAAGAAACAGCTGATCAAATTAAAGTTACTCCCAAGCTTTCACCTAACTGCAAAGTTAGCCTAGTTTTTTTTAATATTTTGTTGACTTTCTCAAACAGTGGGGGCCAACCTCCTGAAGCATCCTTCATTAAATCTCGAATATAAAAACAAAACACGACATGGTGGAGGATATATCAGCATTCGCCAAAGTATGCTTTTGCTTTCCAAACCAACGCGCGCTTGTGCCCATCATCCCGCTCTGGAAGTTTTCCCTCACGAGACTACCCTGCTCAAAGTGAGATGCGCTGAACCGCAATGTCTACGCCGCGAGCACGGCGAGCACCGCCGGTGTAGATCCTCTGCAATGACGCCAACGAGAAGAAGAAAAAAAAACAAAAAAAACAACAAATGAGCGAGCGATCAAGTGTTCGTGCTAAGGCAGACAAGCAGTGTCTTACGTGCTGCATTAATCTTTACAAATGCGCGTGAAGCACGTACTACACTAGGCATAGCGTCCGCGACCACGCGACGCAGCAGGTACCGGCGGTGTTCGCGGCGTAGACATTGCCAGTTCTGCACATCTCGCTTCGAGCAGGGCACATTGTCCGCAATCACGCGACGCAGCCGTACTTTCGATGTAACGGTACTTACCACTGCGCTTTTCTCAGGATTAAAGTTTTTTCTTTCCATGTTCACCAACCACTGTCGATGGCGTTCTTCGTTCTTTCCGCTGGGGAACCGGTGCAGCAAAAATGGCACCAAACACGGACAGTCCATGTGCACTAGCGGGGCATGTTTGGTGACACAGCGTGATTCCACACATTCGTATCTCCACTGCAGTTTTTGCAGCCTACAACTAAGCATGTTTTGCCCGCCGGACGCTGTTTACGCGTTCCATCGCCGTCCCCCATCGCAAGCTAACGGCCGCAAACGATGTATTCTGTAGGCTAGAATAGCAGGCGCGATCAAATCTGAAGGGCAGCCGTGGCGGCCTAGTTCAGCACCGGCTGGTGGAGGCTTGAGTAACTGACTGCTGTAAAGCGTCTATAGATTAATTAAAATAATATTTTAATAAATCAATATAACTAAGCGCTAGCGCGAAGTAGACTTCTCTCATTGGCGTACACATGAGAAAACGTGCCCGAAAATCGGAATGCTGCTTCTCAATCTACAAAAAAACAACTTTTATTGCCGGGTTTGACTAATGAGACAGGGCTCTGGTCTATGCGATTATAAAACTGCCATTACAGTATAGACCACTTACAACGTAACTGCTTATAGTGCAGGACCGGGTATAACGCAGCTTTTTTAAACCACCAGTTCGCCTCCCATAGAACACCATGTAATTACATACCACTTAAAATGCAGGCGCGCGAAGGGAAGTACCGGTTATAGTGCGGTTTTCGGAACAGCCCGGCGACCGCGCCGACTGATTGACGCAGAGAGCACGCTTCCCTGTGCGACACTAGATAATGGCGCGAGCCGCAAGCGGCACTCACGGGGCAAGGAGGTTGCTCGAAGAAGCGGGGAGAAGCGAAGGGAGAGGCTTCAGTTGCCATAGCGACGGAGGGACGCACACACGTGTCATTCACCTGCGTGCGTCCCTTTGCTGCGTTGGAAACGTTGGAAACAACCGCAACGACAGAGATGGTCGTGGACCAAACGCAGGTCGAGGAGAAGTGTTCGCGTGCGTTGCATACCGGTCGCGGGCCGGCCTGGCCGGCCGGCCGGCTGCTTCTATCCGCAAACATGGCGTCGGTTTTGATCGTCGACGTAGACGGCGTGGTAGAAGCTCATCGTTCCGCGTAAAAGCGCTATCCTTGACTGTGAATTTTCATTGTGTGTCGCTATGATAACCCAGCACGTACTAGAAGGGAAGATCCACCTGAAATAATACTTAAAAAACAAGCGAGCTGGTGATGATTCATGGTCCCCTTCGTCCCCTTCTGTGTTCCTGAGTCTCGGGTTTTATTACCATGAAGATCCACCTACTAGTGCGGCGATGTCATGGCGGCACTCTCAAGACGGCAGAAACGCCCGTGTCGTCGTGTTTGTTTACTTCAACTACAGTGGTGCTTTCTAAGCATTTGCGTTTTCGAACATCGCCCGGATTTCTTATTTGGAGCATTTCATGCCTGCGCTCAAGTTGAAGGTATTACTGGCGCATACCGTATAAAGGATGCGAATTTTCACGCGTTTTCATCACCGGAGAAAAGTGATTAGGGTTAGCAATCCTGAACGCTCGCAACGTCCGCCCACAACCCGCGTCACCGTTAAAAGGCTGCGCCAGGCAAAAGTCGCTCATTTCTTTCAAAATGTGTGACACACTTGAGAGAGAAGTGTACTAGTCTGGTGAAATAAATTATTTCCTCAAACTAAGCTTTATTTTTCATTTAACATAAAATAAATTCTTTTACAAAGGTAAGTTGTCTGATGGCATGCATTTTGGCCTGAAAAATTGATGTTTTGGCTATAGCGCGGTACCGCTTATAGTGCGGATTTTCGCGACTCCCACGACATACGTTATATGCGGTCTACACTGTATCTGCCAAATTAAAGCCTTTTTATCACTTTCACCCACCTCCACCACTCACGCATGGTGCAGTCAAAAGGATCCACCGTGATGCATCGTTTGCCATTGGCGACTTCGTATGGGTACGACAAACACCTATCCTACAAAAATCTGAGAAGTTTGCACCCAAGTTCAAACGCCTAAACCAAGCAAAAGACACTTGAGTTGTTCATCTAAGCCAGATGAAGAGACACGTACCACACACCATACTTTGATCCAATCCTGGCAAAGCCGGTAGCCAAAGATCAAGCTCCTATTCAAGATTCTGCAGAGTCAACACGTGACAATAAAGCCCCTGTACATGACTCCGCTTAAATTCCAAGATGAACCTAACTTAGTGCCTTCTCTCGAAAATGAAGCTTCAGCCCAACCTCTGTACCAAAGACCCCAGCGTCATTGGACACAACCCAGGTGACTGCAAGACTACAACCTGTCACTGCTGATTAGTTTTCTTTTTCTAAGAGGACAAAACTTGCAAGTGGGGTGGGATGTGAGCTCCAAACATAGCATACTCCAAGACCAGGTCAGGCAAACCTGAAGGAGCCCCGATTGCTGTGCAATCACCATCAGCCCCATGTGATCTGCAACTTCTTTGTCACTTGTGGCAGTGTGCCAACAGCTTGGGGGGCAGTCCCCCGCTCCCACCAAGTAAAAAAGAGCCCGGTGAACCGAGGGGCACTCTCTCTGGGACAAGCCGCCGACTGCTGCGAACGTGCTGAACGGTAGTAAGCACCTAGTGAAAAGAATGAGTAGCCTGGTCAATCGCCTGCAGCGGACAACGGAAGTCGAACGCCACCGACGTGTAACTTGGATTTTGTGTAACTTTTCAGGGTTTAAAACCACTTTTTTTTAGGCAGGAAGCATATTGGTACATCACTTTGTGTAAAAGTAATAACACCATTTTTTTCCATTGCAACAGTGTCCCGCCCAGAAGCACACACATGCTTCTGTGCGCCTGTGTAATTTATGTGCTCGTGTATTGTGCAACAAAGATCTGTATGTGTATTGTATTAATAATATTAATAATAAGTCAAATATTGTAGCACCGACCAAATGCCTTCTTAATTCCCCTCAAGAGATTTTCAGGCGCTGAACTATATTTCATCTATCATACATTGTGAACTCATGCTTCAAAATTCTTATTTTCCTATGCAGTAAACCTTTCAAGTCTTTTTTTTTTTTTTCATGCCTCATTGCAGACTTGTTCTTAAAAATAGCAATTCTGCTTTAGTGTTCTAAAACAACCACAGTGTGACTGCTCCTAACAACGCAGAATGCAAGCGGAAATTACTTTAAGTAAATGTTCACGGCACTGAAGAGGTAACTGAGACAAGCACAAGATCCTTTTTCATATGCTTTTCATTTTCAGAACCACAAGCAACATGGCTTCTGGAGCTGCCTAGATGGTTCCCCCTTTCCCTCCTGGCCACACTGCC